CCCGGCACAGGCACCGTGCGAACGGGGCCCCGGGGGGACCTGACACTGACAGTGCGCTGGGCAACGCGTGCATCGGGGGCCGGGGCACAGCACCACCCAGTGCATCGCGGGACAGCGGGCGCAACCCCGGCCCCGGCACCTCCACGGGACACCGGGCACCGCCCCGCGCAGGGGCACCCACGGGAAGAGCCCCGGTGCTGCGTGTCCTGCTCCCCTCCGCAGGACCGGGGTGCTGCCACAGCCTCGGCAGAGCTCACTCCCCAAAACCGAGGGTCCCCTGGCCAGGGATGCTCGGATTGGTGCCTGCACCTCCGGCATCGCACACTCGCCTGGGTGCTGGGGCGCCTTGGTGTGGCTGTGGCGTGCCAGCCTGTCCCCAAGCTGGGCACAGGTGCCCCGGGGAATTGCGGGGTGCCAGGCTGACCCCAGGCTGAGCACAGGGTGCCCCTGTCCGGTTGCGGGGAGCCAGGCTGTGACCAGGTCACAGTGTGGGGGAGCCAGGCTGTGCCCAGGCCCGGTGCCCCCGTCGGGGGGCTGAGCACGGCGGGTGCTTTCCCGGCAGATGGAGAGGATGATCGTCAGCATGCAGGACCCCGACATGGGCATCAAGATGAGGAACCAGCGCTTGCTCATCACCGTCATCCCCCACGCCATGACAGGTGGGTCCCCCCATGGGGTGCCCCGCGAGGCGCGTGGGGTGGGGGAGGCGTGTGGGTGCTCCCCGGGTGTCCCCAGCACTGCACCCAGCACCCGCCCCCCGGCACCCCGCACCGCTCCCCGCCCCGCACCCGCGGGAGCTCGGCGCTGCAGCTGGGATCAATTATGCATTACGGCTGCGCGGGGCGGGCGCTCGCTCGTCCTTGGCAGGGCCCCCGTCACCCCGCGTGACCCCTGGCACTGCCATGGTGTGCCAAGCGCCCCAGCCGGGAACCTCCCCATGCCCAGCTTGGGGGACCCCACTGCACCCCACTAACGCTGCCTCGGTCCCCAGGGAACGACATCGTGGAGTGGCTCATCCAGAAGTACGGCATCTCCGAGGAGGGTGAGTGCCCTGGCACGGGCAGCTGGCACTGCGGGGGCAACTGGGGCTGCCGAGCTGCCCTGCAGCCCCCACTCCTGCTCCCCCAGAGGCGCTGCACCTCGGCAACCTCATCGTGAAGCACGGCTACATCTACCCGCTCAGAGACCCCCGCAGCCTGGTGCTGCGGGCGGACGAGTCTCCCTATCGCTTCCAGGTACAGCCCCGCCGGGCACGGGCACTGCCGCGGGTCGGGGCTCCCCCGGCTCGGCTCCGTGGCACCCCACGGCATGTGACTCAGCTTCTCCCTCCCCCCTCAGACCCCCTATTTCTGGACCAGCACCAAGTGGCCGGCCACGGAGCTGGACTACGGTAAGTGCCACCGTGCTGCTGGCACCACACGGGCTGCAGCCCCTTCCCAGCCCCTCTGAGGTGCCGCCGTTCCTCTTGCAGCCATTTACCTGGCCAAGAAGAACATCCGCAAGCAGGGCGACCTGATCGAGCACGAGAAGGTGAGCGGTGCCCTCCTGTGATGAGCTGGGGGGGTGTCTCAGCTCACCCAGGAGCAGGGGCTCCCCTGTGGTGGGGGCACCGGCACCGCGGGGAGTTGTGAGTGCCCTTGGGCCAACGGGACGCGGAGCCG